ATAGGCAAGAGAATTGGTTAAAAGCAAGAATGACTTTGATGCTGATGAGTTGTCCTGTGTTATCTGTTCTAGGTTTTTCATACTGGCTTGCAGAGGAAACCTGTAATACACATATCCAGCTCTTAGATGTTAAATTTACTCCTCTCCCTCTCTCATAAAAACATCTTTCCCTATCAATTACTCTACTTCCCCTTGCCCATAGATCCTGTTCTTTGTTCACTGAGAAACACCGCTGTCTAATATATCTAAAATTGAGCAGAGTCCCCTGAGGAGCTTTATTCAAAATTCAGCATATATGAGGAACTTCCTGGTTATTCTAATATATGCTAAAGTTTGTTCTGACTAGTCAGTCAGTGAATCCCTCTAACTTTACGCTGACTCTTCTTGGCTGTTCCAGACTCCTGTTAGTCTTAGATGGTTACATACTTGCATTCTAGACTTCCAGAGGATTTATCTGCCTGCTGTGCCAGTCCCTGCCTCATTTGCTTTTTCTGTTTTCACTATTCCATTAGTGATCCTTGTTTCTATAAATGTTAGTTCCCTTTCTCATTTCCTTCTCTAGAATCAGAATACTTCAAAGGACAATCCCAAATTGTGTCTGTTACTATTCTTCTTTCATTTCTTTCTACATTTTCTTTATTACAACTTCACCAAGACTACTAAATATCTCGATTTTTTTTCCCAAGTGGTATATATAGCTTGAATTGTCTATGGTTTGAATTATCTACTAGTTATTCTATTTAAACATCCTACCATGGAGGATTAGTGAAAAAGAGGAAGACTCGCCAATGAGATGGATTGGCACAGTGGCAGCAGCAGTAGGCTCAAGCATAACGACAATTGTGAGTTTGACTCAGGACTAGGCAATGTTTCGTTCTTTTGTATATATAGGTTACTATGAGTTAGTACTTACCTGGTGACACCTAACAACAGCAGCCAACAACCATCGCTTCAGGCACAGCATTCCAAAATTAAATGAATCCCAAACCAAGTTCTTTTCTCTCAATTTGAGTATGAAATAATTGATTTGTATTAATTTTAATTATTGATTTCTTTTATATTTAATTGTAGGCTCTTCAGCAAAAGCCCTTGTCAGTTTAAAAGGTAAGAATTATAATGTTTTTAGGTATGCCGTATGCTAGAAATTTCATTTAGCAAATTAATTTGACTATACTGTTACTTTTTCCCACTAAGTTATAACACAATATAACTTTTAAGTATCAGTGTTAGCCGAAGATAACATTAAGTTCATATGCTGTTATATGAGCATAAATCCTGAATTGTTAAAAATTATAAGGATCTCCCCCCAATTTATTGAATGAAAAATTTTCTAATTAAATATTACAGACAGATCTTAAACAACTATGATGAAATGTAAATGGGCTTCAAAAAGTTTGTGAAAAAATGTCATTAATCTTTTATTCCATTTTTCCATGAATTTTTTGACCATCCTGTGTATGTTTGCATAATAATTCATTTGTATGAATTTTATCTTCTAAGTCATAGTGGAAGACCCCTGGGATGAAAATAGTAGTACTCTTCTCTTTCTGAGGAAAAAAGTTAGTTTCGACATGCTCTTTTCCTGTAGGCACATTAGACCAACCCTCTTAATACAGTTTTTGTCTTGAGGTGAGTAAACGTAGAACCAAGCTAGTAGGCTCACAGGTGCATTAGTACTTTCAATGTAGTACAATTCAGTGTTGCCCATTGTATTGTTAATTTAATAAATTAAGAAGCATACGTCCAGAAATCCTGGAAGCAGTGCCATCTTACCGCTTTTCTTTTTTGCTTCTCTAAAATAGACATCTGAAAAGTATTCTAGTATTCTGATTTTCCTCAATAGTAAACCTATTTCTTTTTAAAAATATAACTTAAAGAAAATTATACAAGTAATAAAAAATTCTTTTAGCAAAAATCAGAAAATGCTAATAAGCAAATAGAAACAAAAAGACCCTACAAACCCATTGTTGAGTTTATTTCTACTTATAGTGACTAGCAAGGACAGAGTAGAACTGCCCCATAGGGTCTCCAGACTGTTGCATCTTTCTCCCATGAAGTGACTAGTGGGTTTGAACCACCTACTTTTCAGTGCGTGGTCAAGTGCTTACCCACTGTGCCACCAGGATTCCTTGAGCAAAGAAAAGAACGTAAAAATAACCACTTAATTATATATTCATTTCAGGTTTTCTATGCATCTCTATAAATAAACACATTTTTTACAAAAACTAAATTCACCCTATTTAAAAACTATATCCCAATTATTTTCTAGTTTGCATACAACTAGAGTTGCATACAGCTCTGAAGACATTTCTTTTGAATTATAGAAACAAATGCCACATTAAATTCAATTTGACTTATTAAGAGTTTCACATATTTAAGATATATATATTATATGGCGCTCTGGTAGCGTAGTGGTTACGAATCAGGCTGCAAACCTCAAGGTTAGCAGTTCAAAACTACCAGCTGCTCCGCGGAAGAAAGATGAGGCTTTCTGCGCCCGTAAAGATTTACAGCCTCGGAAACCCTGTTCAGGGTCTCT